TCCGTCCACAGCAGGCCGCGGCCAGGATTTGGGTTCCTGGTGGAGTTATGAGCCGATTGACAGTTCTATTTGCTCGTCCAGAGATCCCTGACTCAGATGCTCATGTGGCAGTTACTGTGGCTTGTGAACTGGGTTAAGTCATCCCGAAACAGCCAAAATCTCAGTAGTTTCTGTGCAACACGTCTGAGCTGCATGAAGGTCAGGCTCCGCCTGGAATAGATTTTAATGGTGCCACACTGGCCTTTTATGACAATCCCCAAGCAAGGTGTACGTCCACATGGACCTTGTTGGGGACAGGGACACAAACTTACAAACCAATAATAACACATTTACAATGTAAGGCAATCCCACACATGACACACAATCCCTCCCCTCTGCTTGGGAGATAATTGGATCAGTAACTGTATTAATTCTAATCCAATTATCTCCAGGCACAGAAAAAATACATTTCTCAAAAGTCCCCAAAAACACAGGATATCCCCACAAATGTTACATCCCATGATAGCCCTGATCTGGGTGACCAACATATCAGAAAATCCCCCCAGATCAGTTCAGGGGTTCAGGAATTTCCAGGAAGTCATAATTTTGATCGACGTGCACATGGTCCTATGCCCAAAACAGTTCAATGAAATCAGTGCTAACGGTCGGTCAAGTTTGGTTTTACAGGTTTCCCTGCAGGGCCCATAGTCTGTGGGCAGGAGGCTGGCAAGCAGGCTCCTCCAGGAGCTCATGGCAAACTCACTTGGAGAGGGGAGTTTGTCACACCTATAATCAACACAATACTTTCTATTTCCCAGCAGTCATTTTTCTTCTCTCCATCCATATTCCATTTTGCTTTATCTTGGTTTGAAACAAGCAGTGTATACAGAGTAAGCAAGTTCTGGCAATCAGCCGTCTCTGCAAGGATTGGTATTAAGAATAGTGCTGCAGAGGTGCTGCATTGGGGGCACAGTATATTTAGCAAAATATATAACTTCACTTTCTGTTGGTCTGTTGGGAGCTGATGGCGCCAAGTGTGAGTCAGTGTCACTTACTGTGAAGGATAGTGAAATATAAAGATGGTGGGGCACTGCTTCCTCTTAGATGTAAGGTGCTACCCACTTAAAACCCACTCCACTGCAAAAATAAAAAAATACATTAGTTAGTAGCTCCACTGAGCTAACCAAACCAGGAAGTAACAGGACCAGTTGTCTGCTGGAAGGCGCAGTGGAGGGGGTGGTGGAGGGGGGGTTACAAAGTTGATTGATAAAAGTGCCAATTTGTATTGAAATCTGCACTTTTTTTAAAACAAAAAAAAGAGGACACATGCGTCACACATAAACGAATTTTGAAAACTAAAGTGATTTAGGGGTCTGGAGTGCCCCTTTAACTCCATTTACAAATCCTCTCACCTAATGAAATGCCATGCTGTGTTCGAAATCATAAATCAATAGAAAGAAAAAGTGAGAGCTCCTTGAAAAATTATGTTTACAATATTTTTCCACCAGTACAGATGTTTTATGATTACCATCCTGGGCCTGGTGGGGGTTATCCTGGTTTCCACCAGTAAAGATGTCTTATGATTACCATCCTGGGCCTGGTGGGGGTTATCCTGGTTTCCACCAGTAAAGATGTCTTATGATTACCATCCTGGGCCTGGTGGGGGTTATCCTGGTTTCCACCAGTAAAGATGTTTTATGATTACCATCCTGGGCCTGGTGGGGGTTATCCTGGTTTCCACCAGTACAGATGTTTTATGATTACCATCCTGGGCCTGGTGGGGGTTATCCTGGTTTCCACCAGTACAGATGTTTTATGATTACCATCCTGGGCCTGGTGGGGGTTATCCTGTTTTCCACCAGTAAAGATGTCTTATGATTACCATCCTGGGCCTGGTGGAGGTTATCCTGGTTTCCACCAGTAAAGATGTCTTATGATTACCATCCTGGGCCGCTGATCCATCTGTACCACAGATATCAGTGGAGAAGATATTGAGGAGGCAGACAAAGCCTTTCTGTTGGCATTCAGTTCTATTTGCACAAGATTTTGGTGGACACATGGTGAGCGGGACTCCAACTTACCTTATCTGATGTCAAGCTGGCTCCTGGTGGTGCTTTAGCCCTTTGTTCCCTACCTAGTTTGGGAACCAAAAGAGGAACTAACCCCAAACACCATCCACAACCTGGGCAGGTTCTTTGCTATATTGAATTATCTCAGGACTAAGACCTGGGCATTTGGTATGGTAGGGTCAGTTGGCATTGTGTGTTGGTTTCCATTATATCTTAGAGCTGGAGTTGTGTGGTTGGGTAGCATTGCTGTGCTTATTATATCTTATCTATATTATCTTGTTGAGTCCATCACCTCCTACAGTACTATTGTACAACCAAAGCCTAGGTATTGGCTGCCTTTTTAGAGGTCTCCTACCTGGAATCGACCATTTTGCTGATACACCTGTATATTTTGTTGCATTTTGTCTTTACTTTTGTATTTTTGTGACCATTGAGTATATTCCTTCTTATCATACTGACCATGTATTGCATCATCTCACAACTGTGTTAAAATAATGAGTGTCCAGACTGTCTATTGTAGTCTGTACATGTATTTTAATGCAATTTGACTTGCCTTTTATATTGGTCTCATTGTATTTTGACCTACTTGTAAGTTATGATTACCATTCAATAAAAACAGGTGCCACTGGAAATGGTCAGTGTATACAATGGTCAGCAAATGTCAGGTTTAAATTTCAGCCGTGGAATGGTTAGGTTAGTATGGTTATTTGCATGATTCCGGTCAAATAGAAAAAAGTGGTGGCAAATATTATATTAGGTCTAAGGGGGTTTATTCACTAAACCGTAAAATAGTGACTTGAAAGCCAAATTATGAAATTTAGGCTAATTTAGTCAAACATTTACTATAGTTGAGATTGACAAATTGTTGCAAATAAGCTTTTTTAACTTATATGTCGCAATTTATGTTTTCATTCCCTCTTTAGTCAATAATCCTCATTGTCTCAAAGTAGTTTTTCTACAGCTCCCACATCTACAAGATTTTTTCGTCACATTTTCTTTGACTATGACTAGATCCAAAGAGCAGTTTTTGAAATAGCCTGAGTCTTCAGTAGTCCACCCATGAAATACATAATATGATAAGACACAGTTGCCAGCATTGTCATGTTTTTTTCACTGTTTTTGACTCGAGGCAAAATGCTTAAAAGTGCCATTTCTGGTGTCATAATTATAGTTGGTTTCTGAATAGAGCAATAATGCTGGAAAGTCCCAAAATGAGTGAAATAAGTTAGCAGATGGGGCAATTTAGACATGGGTTGAATTTGGTGGGTCTTGGTCTCACGAGATGATGATGAGATAAGATACATAGTGCATAATGCATAATCGCTTTGTACGCTATGGCGTCACTAGAGGGGGGGAATTTGAGAACAACAAACTGGGCAGAAAAGGCACCTGCCTATTTCCACTTCAGTCGCCTACTCTGCCAAAATATCTCTGTGTCCGATCTCAGGGATGAGGGGGAGAGACAGTGAAAGAGACAGATCCCTTATTTGGTGTCTTTAAATATGTCAACTCTACATATGAATAACAAATAAATGAGTTATCTACTAAACAATGGAACTCCAAACTCTGGCCCTCCAGATACTGCTGAACTACAATACCCATGATTCTTTGAATGAAATAGATAGCCAGATAATTGTAAGTGTTGTAGTTAGGCAACATGTGGAGGGTTACATTTTGGAGAACCCTGTATTAAACAACAAATATCAAATTAAGAAAATAACGTTTTAAATTTTTTTCTTTCATCTGTTTACTAGATAATTCCCTAAATTGGTACCTTTATGTGGAATTCCATATTTAGGATATACAATTAGGGTGCTGTTTAGCAGATTGGTCCCTTATTTGGTGTCCTTAAAAATGCCAATCCAGCATGAAGATAGCAAATAGGGGAGTTATCTGCTAAACAAAGATAAAAATTAAGAAGTGTCAGCCAACCCAGAACAAGAATTCCAAGTGGCTTGTGTGAATTCTGTGCAAATTTGTTGTCTGACACCAGTATGCACAGCATGCTGGCATCAGACAGCCAATGGCGGCACATCAGGGCCAGATTAAGAGCCCAGTGGGCCTGGTGCTGACAATTATGATGGGCCTAATTACAGGATCTTATCGACCAAAACACACTAAAACAGTCATAACTCTCAAGCATCATGTATCTAATGGAGATGGTGTTGGAGGGAAAATCAAAGGATGCAGCTATAAGAAAACACATACTCGATGGTAATCTCTTTATCTAATTTAGGCTTTCATCTTTTAAGTAAATCCATACCCCCTAACAGCAGTGTCCAGTGAAGTCAGTGGGCAGGGTAAAAGGGTGAGCCACTGACGTGAATCATGTGACCAGAACTCCTCCCAAAAGGGGCTAACATGCCCAAAGAATTGGAAGGCCAGCCTGGCATCAGTGTCCCTATGTATCACAGTGTCAATGTCCCCATGTCGCCCAGTCCCCTAGTCTCCCACTGTCTGTGTCCCCATTTCTCCCAGTGTCCCCATGTCTCAGTGTGTCCCCTGTCACTGGGGACACTGGGAGACATGGGGGGCACTGAGACACATGGGGGCACTTGAGGATACAGACATGGGGACACTGGGAGACATGGGGACACTGGGAGAAATGGGGTCACAGACACTAGGGACACAGAGACATGGGGACACAGACACTGGGAGACATGGGGACACAGACATTTGGGGAAACTAAGACACTAGGGACACTGAGAGACATAAGAACACAGACACTGGGAGACACTGAGACTGTAACACTAGGGACACTGGCTGTGAGGCATGGAGACACCGACAATTGGGGACACTGGGAGACATGGAGCACTAATGTGGACATAGACATGGGGACACAGACATTTGGGGACACTGGGAGACATGGGGACACTGAGACACTAGGGACACTGGCTGGGAGACATGGGGACACCGAGACACTGGCTGGGAGACACAGGGACGCTGGGGGACACTGGGAGACATGGGGACACAGACACTGGGAGACTTGGGGACACTGAGACACTAGGGACACTGACTGGGAGACATGGAGACACTGTGTCCCTAGTGTCTCCGTGTCCCAATGTGTCTATGTCTCACAGCATCCCCATGTGACTCAGAGTCCCCATGTTTCACAGTGTCCCCAAGTGTCTGTGTCCCCACGTCTCCCAGTGTCCCCATGTCTCCCTGCTGCCTTTCTCCCCATCCTTCACATACCTGAGCTGTAGTCTGTCTCTGCAGGCTGGGAGCTGCTGTCTGGACTGTCTGTGCTGTGTAGCTGCTCCCCCGCGGATCAGTGAGTAGAGAGAGGCATGGAGGTGCTGCAACTTCCTATCCCTGCCTCTCTCCCTACACAGTGACCGCTACTGGCCGGTGCTGGTATTGCTGAGTAATCTCAGTAATCTGAGAAAAATATTTGCATTTGTATTGCCGGTATTACTGCAATACCATCACGGCCAGGCAGCTTCAAATACCGACTGTGCCTTAAATTACCAGTCAGGTGGCAAACCTAAGAGTAGTGTGTGTAAAAAAAAAATGGGCCTATTCCACGGGCCTGGGCCTGGAGCTGCATCTCCATCAGCCCCTATGTTAATCCGGCCCTGCGGCACATTACCCGACCCCCTAGTTCAAATTATTAGTGTCCCCACTTAGTTTTGACTTTGGTATCTTATGTGTATACATTGTTCATAGAGTCAGTATTATTTGTAAGTCATTTCTCACAAGAGATAACATATTGAATAGAAAATAAAACTACAGAAGTATTTAATATTTGAGCTGCATCTTGTGATAAGATATTGGGTTGTTACAGAATATTGAGTAAATTATGTGATAGACTGAGATTATTGATCTAAAGGGATACCATTCCAGCTCATTGAAGTGGTCTGGGTTTTTAAACTCAGGACAACATTTTGAATCTATTTAGCAGGTTTTTTCATTAGTTTTTGTAGGTAAGTAAAAGATTTTTCACGCAAAAGTAAAAAAACATGTTTTTTTTCCCAATTTTTCACCTTTTTTTTTTAAAGTAAATTATATGACATGATACAAATAATGGTATGTAAAGAAAGCCATTTTTGTCCTGAAAAAAAACAATATATAACTTGTATGGGAACAGTAAATGAGAGAGAGGAAAATTACAGCTAAACACAAACACCACAATGCCCTTTTCTTATTTTTAATCTCTTGTTTTACTTCTCTGCTAAACCACATTGGTTTCAATTTGTTTCTTTTATATTTATCACCCAATGGTACATACTGAGAATTGTACCTTTCTATAAATTTGTTTGAAGAGCATCCATTTATCATCAGTGTTTTTTTTCACTAAGGAGTTTATGCCAGTCGATATGTTGGAGAGCTGCCCCAATCTTATTGAAATTGGCTTTTTAAAAAATTATATGTTTTAGTATACCCCACATGCTGTTGCTTTTTAGAGTTTATTTAAAAAATTACCATATTGTGATCACTATTTTCCAAATGCTCCCCTACTTGAATGTTGGTCAAAAGATCAACATTGTTTGTTATAACGAGATCCAGACAAGCATCCTTTCTAGTTAGTGCATATACCAGTTGTGACATGAAGATGTAATTTAACACATTCAAAAACTTTATTCCCCTTGCGGAAGTACTAGTCACTTTATTCCAATTTATGTCCGGGTAATTAAAATCTCCAATAATTAACGTGTTACCCAGATTTGCAGCTTTCCCAATTTGCTCTAACAGCCATTCTTCCTCATTAATATTTACATTAGGTGGTTTATAACATATCCAACCAATAATTGATTTCCCTTCATTTGCCCCAAGCAGATATCTACCAATAAAGCTTCCACATTTTCCTCGTCATACTCCACATGCCTAAGATTTGACTTTAACTCATGGTTGACATACAAACATACCCCACCATCCTTCCTATCCTTCCTAAATAACGTGTACCCATTGAAGTTAACTGTCCAGTCATGTGTCTCACCTGCTGGTCTATCCTCTGTCTCCCACATCTGATGCTCGCCTCCAAGACTTCTCTAGGGCTTCACATTTTTGTGGAACTCCCTTCCCTTCTCCAATAGACTTTCACCCAGTCTACACTCCTTCAAAAAATATTTGAAAACACACATCTTCAGTAAACTATATCATTTAAACTGTTAGCAGATTTTCATCCCCCACCCCCATGACTTATCTCCTGCAACTGTCAAAAATAACCTACTAAGTTCCCAATTAATACTTTTCTAGCAACCTATTTCATTCCCCCTACTTATACCCTTTGTGTCACTATATCCCACTCCCTCTAGCATGTAAGCTCAATAAGCAGGGCCCTCAACCCCTCTGTTCCTGTGTGTCCATTTGTCTGGTTACGATTACGTGTCTGTTATGCCTATTATATCATGTTAAAGTCACACGTTAGGTGGCCGGCCAACCTTGCACTTAATGAACAAATATAAGTAGAAGATACAATCTTGCAGCAAAGCATAGCACAGGTGGGGCAATAACACACAAAAGGGAAATAGGGAAGGAGCAGGAACTGAAGTGAACAAATATATTGCTCAACAATATTGCACGAAGGTGAAATAGGGTGTTAAAGGTAAAAAGGTGTAAGAACAGATAAGATTAAAAAAAACCAACATAATAGTAGGAAAATAGAAACTGAAATAGTATTATATTAAGCCCGGCACCATGTTTAGCATCTTATAATTATCATCAATATGTCAGAACCAGCGGAACAAAAAAGTAGGGTTAAGCACACGCACTAGTTTTTTCAGCAGGTAGACTTTATTGGGAAGTCCAAAAACTTTGACAACATTTTTGTACTCCACAATAAAGTCTATCTGCTGAAGAAAATTATGGATGTGCCTACTTTTTTTTTTTTGTTCCACTGGATTTGTCTGGGCTGCGGCCCTCCCTGTTTTGAAGCACCATAGTGGGAGTACTCCCTGAAAAAGTGTGTGTGCAAGGTCCTTGGAAAATTCTATATGTCAGAACCAATATGTCAGGATTACAATATGATCCAGCACGCAGAATTGTGTAACACAGAGGACTGATAGGTAACGTATACCAGACCTTAGAATGGCCGGACTAACGTACCAAAGAATAGTCAGGATTATCCGAGGTCAAGGGATACAGAAAGAGACACAACGATAAGGAAAGGCCAGGGGTCAGGGATGCCAGAAAACAGGGAAGTCAAAAACAATGCCAAAGTCAAATAACCAGAATTACCAGAATCAATAACGCGCTCTCAGACAACCACAAGGGAAACCATGACAGGGCACTGAGGAGGATGAGAACTGCAGATGAGAAAAAGATTGCGCATAGTAGTCATGCGATGGAATATAGTGGTAATATACCGGAGCTGCCACCACACACATTATTCTTCTCTGTCTCTGTGGAACAAGTCTGGTTGTGTTCACTTTAGAGAGAGTAGAAGATGTTCCTTTTTAGAACCCTCATCGGATGAACCACAATAATATACAAAGGCCCTAATTATGATATACTTTCAGTCATTCCGCAGCAGAGCAGAGAGAGCTTTTCCATTTTCCTCACATTAGACTACTAATATGATAGAGCTAGTGGGTGCAGAGTGTCTGGCCCTTTGAGTTTGGAAGTGGTTGTGTCCTTCTGAGACACCTATTGTGATTTCATTGTATGTGGCTTCTATCTAGAAGGAATGACTCTTTAATGTTGTATTGTGAGCAGCATGCTGCTACTTATCAGAATGTTGAGGGGATGACTGAAAAAATAGCAACTAACTGCACAATATGTGTAAAGCACCTTACATAAAACACCAGATTCTTCTTCATTTACACCAAATTATCGTGGATTCGTATGCAAACGATCGCTACAGATGTTGTCTGGCTTCCTTGTTCACTTAGTTTTAATTCAAACCAATGGCTGGTTATCTTTAAAAAAAAAAAAAAAAACTGCAATGGGCATGTTATAAGGCTACACAGTGTCTGGTCTTAGACATGCAAGTGCAAAACATGCAAATTCTTCCAATGAGCTAAACAAATCCAGTAGGAAAACTCTACTGATCTAAGTAAACTTGTCACAAGAACATCACAGAACTCAGATACAGACACATTTAGAAACAGTACTTTGAAACACAAACTTTGGTTACAGCAGCTGAGTCTGGCCACCTATAGTGTAAATACGTCTCTTTCTAGCCAGGTCCTCTACCTGTCCTTCTACCCGCACTTCCATAAAAAATACATTACCACCACTTCGTAATGCACAGCAAACATTGGAAAAGCAACATATTGGCTATGATCCGTGTAGAGAGAACCAGAGAGCTCTGACCCTTAATCTGTAGTGAACTCTATAAAACATCATGGTCATCAAGCATTAAATGTGCATTATTGGGAGTTGTAGCTCATTGTAGAATGTGTGCCAGAGACCATTGGCATTCACCCTATATGGATTACATTTCTCTCCATGCTCACTCAGTGAGCATGATAAGATTCACAATTATTTTCTTTGCCTATCTCCATGGTACTAAGCAGGATAGACCACAGGAGATTGACTGTAAGTATAGAATATTAAGCAGCTGATTTGGTATAAATTTATCAATAAACTGTCAGAGGTCATCAAACTGTCATCAATAAACTGTTAGGTACCTGTGATGTTAAGGACTGCATGCAAAGTTAACAGGGTTTCGTACATGATATACTCTTTCCCCTACAAACCCTTTTGCAAAGGCATAATTTTTGACACGCTAATGGTTCGATGTCAGATGTCCCGTGGTGACTTTATTAGGCCACATACAAAGAGCAGGATTTTGGCAGGAGTCTATGAAACCCCCAAACTATTTATGATCTTTGTGTACTAGAGCAGAACTTCAGAAGGGATTGATCATATCCAAATATATAATGCTGCACAGGGATTCCTCCGAAGGATTTGAACCTTCATACATCTATCTTTGGGGGTGAGCGTTGGAGAATGGGCAGACACCTGGGAGGCCACGTTTAAAGTGTCAATCTGCATACTGATACATTATAGAAAATACTAATGAAATGGTTTACTACCCCAGGATACCCCAGATGACTGTTGGTGTTTAAGTAACTAACATAGGTCATGTGTCCACATGTGGTGGACATGTTCAAAAGTAGTCCAATACTGGACAGAAGTAAGAGGTTTACTAACTGAGTTGTTCTATCAACCTATAGATCTAGATCCATGGACCTTAATGTTGTTGAAGCTTATTGAGGAGTTCAGCTTT